TGGGGGGGGGGGGGCGAGACGGAGAGAGAGACCTATTTACCGACGCAACACACACGGGCAGCTCACGACCTCATATTTCACACCTGTGCATGCTTCCCACGCGTGAGTAATACGTACCGATTAAGACAAACCGGAAGATGGAAGCGCACGGAGTGCGTGTGTTGCCTGTCTCAGCCGCGTGAGTGCTGTAGGCCGCAGCAGTCGCGGTTGGACTTTGGACTCCTCTCTCTCTCTCTCTCTCTCTCTCTCTCTCTCTCTCTCTCTCTCTCTCTCTCTCTCTCTCTCTCCCTCTCCCTCTCCCTCTCCCTCTCCCTCTCCCTCTCCCTCTCCCTCTCTCTCTCTCTCTCTCTCTCTCTCTCTCTCTCTCTCTCTCTCTCTCTCTCTCTCTCTCTCTCTCACCTCGTTCAGCACGAGCGGGTCGGACGGAGACAGCGCCAACGCCCCCATCAAGAAGTTTCTCGCCAGCGCCAAGTTGTGGGTTCGAACGTACTCCATTCCTGCCCACAAAAAAAGGGGCACCGCGAGAACGTCATTCATCAACACACAAGACATCGACGTCGATCGCGACGACAACAATAATCGTTCAGCCTCACCCGGAACAAGAAGCGTCACGGGAGCACAAAGACCAAACGATCAAGATGACGACGGCATTGTTTCTTCAGCCTCAACCGGAATATAAGTGTCGCGGGAGCACAAAGACCAGACGAGCTTATCAAGACGACGACCACGACCACATAAAAAAAAAAAATCTTCTTCAGCCTCACCCGGAAAATGAGTGAAAATAAGTGTCGCTGGAGCACAAAGATCAAGCGAGACTGACGAGAACATGTATTCAGTGTCATTCGGAACAAGTGGCGCGGGAGTACTGACTTGAAACGAACGCATCAAACTACTGTGTCTCAGGTGTTCCTGCTTGTCCTGACCGACGACGACGACAATATAGAGTCAGCTTCACTCGGAGGAAGTGGTAGCGGCAGTGCTAAAAAAAAACATAGTGCCTTAGGTATTCCTGCTCGTCGAGACTCTCCCACCCGGAGTAGTCTATAGCCGATACTTTTCATACCGCGAGAGAACCACAGCGAGAACAGAAAACAAACAAATGCAAAGGCTACAAGGACCACTGCTGCGAAAAAAAGGTCGAAACCCCCCTAGACATAAAACAACACTTGTTCAAAAACAACCCTATACCTTCCCTTCTTGGAATGAGTACTGCTGTAGTGCTGCACGAGAGCCCCGACTACAGTCGAAAAACGGAGGACGAAACACTCACAAAACGCTTCATAGATTTGAGAGATAGAAGGATCAAAAGCGTCCCCTGCTGCTGTTACTACCGACATTGAGCAGAGCCGCATGCACAAGAGCCGCGACAAAAAAGGCGCAAAACGCGCGAAAACGCTCGAGACAACGAAACAAAACACAACACAACGAAACAGGCACAGCCGGCGCACACTGCTGCTTGCTGCTTGTGGCTTGCGGCTTGCTGCTGCTGTGCTTACCGAAATAGGGCATCACCGCATGAGAGCCTGGACAAACGACGGGAAAAACAGGAGACATAAATCACACGCTTGAGAGAGAAAAACACAAACGGGCGGGCGCACGCTGCTGCTGTTGCTGTCCTCACCGATATAGAGCAGCGCTAGGTGAGAGCCCTGGAACAGGCGCGCCGCCGTGCGGTAGGCACTGACGGCCTGGTCGGTTTCCTCCTGAGCGGCGAAGGCGTTCCCGAAACCGATCCACGCCGGCGCGAATCTCCCGTCCAGCTTAGTCGACTAATGTTTTGTATCGAGACGATGACACGAGGAGGGATGGAGGGAGGGAGGGAGAGAGCCACAACAACATAGATGAGACATTGAGACAGAAAAAGGGGATGAGGCGGCTGGCCTGGGCGGGGGGGGCTGAGATAACAACCAACCAAAGCAGACACGGATACACAGAGCTTCACAAGAAGCGTAACCAACACATATGTACCACAATGTACTATTAATAAGTAGTAGAGTAGAGTGCAACGTTGCACCCTATCGTACGTGGCAACGTTGAGAAAGTAGCGCTGGGCCAGCCCGTTCTTGTCGAAGAGGTGATAGTACAGATCATCTGTAGAGCCCCCCCTGTACCTAAATTCTGCGTACCCCCCACCCGTTTTTTTATCCCCAAGATTGTTTCACCTTGAGGAAGTAGCGCTGGGCCAGCTCGTTTTTGTCCAGGAGGTGGTAGTAGCAGGCCACGGCGAACCACGAGACTGCCTGCTTCGGCCCCGCTTCCACCAGCTGGTGGGCCGTGTAGAACAGCTGGCTTTTCATCTTCAGCTCCACCTTGGTTGTTGCGCACAGCAGGGTCGACAAGAGAGAAGAAAAACGGGGTGAAGGTAGGTAAATGCGACACACAAAGTGACCTGACTCTGTCCGTATGGTCTGCCGAGATTGCATGCAAAGGCCAATTTTTCATGCGGAGCTTGGTTCGGGTGAAAAAAAAAAAAATGTGTCCCATATTGGGAAAGAGAAAAAAAAGAAAATAGGCACGATACACAGAGGGAGACAGATAGAGAGAGCGAGAGCGAGACAGACAGAGACCAACCAACATGCCACCAAGGAACTTGTTTGGATACCGACCAGAAGGCGATAGCTGCCATCCTGGTTGGTCTTGGTATCGCCGTCCCTGGAAAAGCCGGCATAGATGGCTCAGCTGGCTCTCACAGCTCTTCAGGTATAAACTCTAGTCTCCCCGTGCCTCCACGCGCAACAAGACGGGATCGATCGAGTACGCTACCTGACTGGCTGACTGACTCACCATCGCCGCGAGGTAGACCGGGAGACACGCCGAGTTGTGTGGGTCGGTCCGGAACACCTGCCTGCAGATCTCCAGCGCTTGCTGGGCATCGTTCTGGGCCCAAGCCAAAGAGAAGAGGCAAGGGACACGACAAGATACAAGAGAACACGGGAGCTCGTTTTACGACGTACTTCTAGAATACAAAATACCCACTATTTATTGTCCGCAACTTGCTGGCGTGCATGGCTGGTTTGACGGAGAGAGCCTCCCACGGTTTCGACAAGCAGTCGAAGAGTGCCGCTCTAGCTACGATAGGCGTCGCCCCCGCACAACCCTATAAAGTGCTTCTGCGGGCCGCATCGGATCCAACGGACGGACTGCCTACGCGGCAAAAATTAAGTGTTATATATGAAATAGAGAGAGAGGATACAGTGACCCTTATCCCTATCCCTACCCGAAATTCAACCGATTCCATACTGTACCCAGCATGTTTGCTGGATGAAAACCTGCGTGGGCTACTGGATCCAACACAGCAGTTATAGCCCCTGAGCTCCAGCCAGCACGTCAAAATGAGAGTCCCAAGCCCGGTGGTATCCATTTATCCACGACTCCGAGTCGGCGAGACCTCAACCAGGCCTCAAGGTTGTTACTGAAGATTGACACGGATATCAACTGGCCGCGTACCATCGGTTCAGCAATTGTGAGCTGGAGAGCCTTCCGTGAGCCAAAGCCGCCACACACGCGAAAGCACGAAAAAAAAGGGAAGAATACGCTCCGCTGTTCGGGCGTGCCGGCGTGGCTCTTCGGCACAACCGTGCTCAACCGCCGAACCTCACACACTCACAACACACAACACACAATCGGAGGGGGTGGGCCTCTCTTTCTCACCTGCTCGTAGCAGCACTCTGCCTTGGCGGCTAGCACGTCCAGGTTGCCCCCGAGACCGACGCGACCCAAGTCCCCGAACACCTGCGTAAAAGTCAAATTAACCGAGAAGGAAAAGCGAGACACAAAAGGCCGTGTTCTTCTGTGGTAAGGATTGAGATCACATCACATCACACGCGGCTCCGCACAACTGTCAAAAAAATTGAACCCGGAGAAAAAGCGAGACTAAAAGCGTGCTTTCCTCTTCCAAGGCACGCTTGGGATCGCGTCACGTCACCCACGCGGCTCTGCAATCAGTCCTTTGAAATGCCACATAACTGGAGATGGATCTTCCTTTCCGCGGGGCTCCCGGCGGGCGGGGGAGCAGCAAAACTGGAAGGCAAAAACATGGGGACTCAGTGTTCCGAAAGTGAAGCGTGTAGGGGGTTCGTTTTGTCTCACCTTTGCCCTGGAGCCCGGGGGTCGATTAATCTGCGACTTAAACAAGAAGTGCAGCCAGCTCTCCTGCTGCTCCTCTCCGTACTCCAAGCCGGACACCATCGAAGCCTGCTCGTCGATGCTCAGCAAGTGCCATCTGAATCGGATCGCGTTTGTAGTATTAGTCAACAGATCGGGGATTGTCGTTGGAGTCGTCGACTGGCCGTTTCGTCTACAATATGAATATTCTTCCTGAATAGATTGGTATTTTTCCCTCTCAAAGTCAAGACTTCCAACACACCCCCTTCGACGGCGGTTATATCTCGGACGGGTAGTCTTCCTGCAATTGTTTATTTTCTAAGAACGCATGTGCACTGCGCAACAAAAAATCCCTTGGAGTATTGAACGGCAACGTGGGTTTTTCTTCCATTTTTTTTTTCGTTTCGGCGTTCCCCTTTTTATTTTTTTCAGGCGTTCCTTTTTCGTCACGCTCATAACCTGGCTGACACACACGGCCCAAAGCATTACTGTGCGACGGTACGCACAGCGGTTCAAAAGCCCCGCCCGTTCCCGGCGTGTCGACCTACTACTTACAATACTGTCTGCTGTTGCGCGATTGACAAGAGTACTGTAGATCGGCATCACGGTGTGAGTTGCCGCTACACACATTTGAGTGGCGCTAACGAGACCTCTGACACTGAATACTCACGGCGCCGTACTCTATTGCACACTCACACCGAGCGAGCGAGCGAGAGAGAGAGAGAGAGAGAGAGAGAGAGAGAGAGAGAGAGAGAGAGAGAGAGAGAGAGAGAGACGCACACGGACAGAGACAGAGCCAGAGCAAGAGAAAGAGCCAGAGAAGGAGCCAGGGCTAGAGACCGAGACAGAGACAGAGACAGAGCAAGAGAAAGAGACAGAAAGAGAAGGAGAAAGAGAAAGAGACAGAGACTGAGACAGAGACAGACAGACAGAACCAGAGACATAGACAAAGACAGAGACAGAAAGAAACAGAGAATGCACCCCACCCCACCCCACCCCCAACCCAAACCAAACAGCGACTCCTCAAGGCGCATGCGGCCCGGCAAACCCCGTACCGTGTCAAGCACTGCAGAGCCTCCACGCAGCGAGCGTCGATCTCCAGCGCGGTCCGGAGCCAAACGGCCGCCCTCGGCCGGTTGTCCAGGTAAGCGTACGCCTGTCCCCTCAGGCAGCACAGAGCGGCGAGCACGTCCACTCCCGGTGCTGGGCATTCCGCCGCCACGGCCCCCGAACCGGCACCGTTCGCGCCGGGAACCGCCGCCGCCGCCGCAACCCCCGATCTCGCCGCCTGCGGCGGGGAGGCGTGCACGGTGAAATTAAGAAGAAGAACGAGCGAGCGGAGTCGGCTGTTGACTGGCATCGACGGAGATGGCAGGAGCGCAGTCGTCACCGCGACGGCAGCCAGAGCCGACGAACAACGAGGAAGACGGCGGCCGCTACAGCAGTCGCACGACACAAGTGCACGACAACCGCCAGCACGTCGACCGATAGAATGACCCCTATTCTGGCACTGCTGCGCGCCTCCAAGCCGTCGCTACAGTACCCTCGTGCGTCTTGCACGAAGACGGGGCTTCGTGGAAGTGCGCATCATGTTCGCATACTTCAAAGCACATATAGTAGTAAGCCTTGATGCGACGATCTGCTCGACATGAGTTTCGTGAGAAAGATGGCGCCATAGACTCCCAGCTGCCACAAGCCGAAGCGTTTGTACGAGTCTCCCTTTCTGCAACGGCACACGCATGCACAAACCAAACGACCCAAGAGAGGTTCGGCCTTCGATCCACCTGGCCCCAACCTCCCGAACTCTCGGTGGCCATCCGTTTTTGTTGTGCGGTCGACACTGCCGTGTAAGAATAAGGAAATGATGGCGGTACACGGTGCGGTACAAGAACACCACCGAAGAAACACACGCACGCACGCGCAGTAGGAACCTTGGTTGCGGGTTTTCGTTCCCGCTACAAGACTGGCGTCTTCTCAATGGCCAGCCGCGTAGGCGCGGTCGACGCTAATTAAGACAACACGAGACTGACGTCTTCTCATTGGCCAACATCTTGTCACTGGCCAGCAGTTTAGCGCGGTCGACCCCAAAACACACACACACACATTTTGCCCGCTGGCACTGACGTCTTTTGTCAGCCGGTTAGCGCGGTCGATGCTAATAATAAAAAAAACACACACACACAAACACACAACACACAACACACGTTAGGCACGGACCTACTACACACCTTAGCCCTGGCCTTCACCTCCTCGGCGTGGTCGTCGGTGTGACCCAAAACCTTCTCCAGCAGAGACACCGACTCCTCCGTCTTCTCTGCCGCCCTCAGACTGGGTGACCATCACAGAAAAACCACAAATCGCGGCGGCGCCCCCACGGCAAGTTAAGTTCGTGGGAAATTACGTTGACAAAGAACCGCACAAAGCGGCGACAAACCAAACATGTTTGCCGCGGTGCCAAGCCCTACTCCTTGAGACACGAGGGTCTCGGTTTCAACGTGCGATGCTCTTAAGGTACTGCGGCCGCATTTCCCGAGGGAACAGACACATCGTGCGTTGCAGGGTAGGACTGGGGGAGGGGGGGGGGATCTCGGCTTACGCATCGTACGGTACCGCGTTACGACGCCGCTGGAAAGTATGCGTAACAGGATGACACCCCGTGCAGCCATTGCTAGGTTCTGCCGGTCGGTGGAAACAAAGGCGTCCTCCTACAATGGCGACGAAAAACCGTCCATCAACACCAACTGCTTCCAAGCAACAGATACCAGTCCAGCCCACCCAAGGGCGGTCCTTGCAGTAGGTACCAAGGGCTGCCGCCAACTGGCCTGCTCGGGCAGCAGGTTTCCCACCCAGGCGACCAAAGCAGACCCGGCCGAAGAGCGACAGGCTGGTGAGTGTTTGTCTTTGTGTCGTGCTGCCGATTTGTTCTGCAATACGCACGGCTTCTTCGGTGCAGCCTTCCCCGCAGGTCTTGCCTCTTCCATCCTGAACAAGGCCTACTGTACTCGCAAGATCCGCCCGTGCTCGCGACGCACGACTGCCTACGCCATCTTCGAACTCGTAGCCACAGGACCAACCCCCCCCGCGGCACCCGAAGAGGCATGCACTGCACGAGACGAGGTGAGATGTCAACAACCTTACCCCCCCCCAAAACAACCTCCTCCCCTCACTCCGCATTTCCACCGACGCTTCCCCGTGGACAATCAATCACCCTAGCGCCGCTGTCCCCAAGCGACAGCCTACAGTACAGCTCCCTCCGCACCTTCTCGCAGCCAAGTGGCACGCCCTGAGGCCGAAATTGTCCGCGTAGTCCAGCAGGCGGTGCTGGGCCAGCAGGTGCACCGTGCGGAGGTACGCTCCGCAAGCAAATTGCGCCTTATTTCGTCGAGAAGAACACACACGCCCGGGCGGGAGCGTCAAAGAAGGGGGGCGTAGCGAACGTATCGCAAGCGAATCCGAACTCACAGCATCTACAAAAGAGGTTCTTCCACCTGATAGGGTCAACCGTGAATTGCATCGCTGGCTGCAGCCTCATGTGCATTTCAAATCTGTGTCGAACGCAATTTGTTCAAGAAATACCTCTACCGATTTCCCGAAGCATGTGGGGTTGGTTGCAGCTAGCGACATTCTTGCGGTGTTCATCTTGGCTAGGAGGATACCACCCATGAAAGACGACTCTTGTGCGGTTGTATACCCTCGGCCCTCGGCAATATGGAGCAAGTTTCCTCGTCTGAAGAAAGAACGGAAAGAGTCACACGAGGTTACGGAAGCACCGACCGTCGCCGAAGCGCTGCAAAGTGAGCCGCCGTTCGTCAGAGACGCCAGGCCAACACCACGTGTGCTGCCAATTAACACACCCTTTTTTCATCAACATAACCAAAACTCGGCCCCAAGTCAAAACTCAGCAAATTGCCTCGCCCGCCTCTGACACCTACTACACCGTCATGTCTTCAAAAAAGAAACGAGCCGAACAGCGGTTCACGAGAATGGGGGGGGGGGGGTCACCTTAGCGAGAAGGAGCACGGCTTCTCGATCGAAGTTGGAAAAGGTCACTAGCTTGTCCGCGTAGTAGGCGGCCGTGTCCGACATGTTCTCCTCCAGGCAGTTCTTCGTCAGCTCCCGCAGTTGCTCTGTAGTGTATGACATTTCGCACCACCAGAAGGCGTGTGTTCGTGTGGGCGTGGGCGTGATACTCACAACTAAAGGTAGCACCGGCCGTGCTAATCGGCTGACCAATGAAAATACACTAGTCTCAATGCGGCTAAACATGTACAGCACTTCTCGCGGCCATGACGTTGGGCCCGTTGAGGGGGAGCCATTTGGGAGGCTAGCCCGCTGCATGTTTGTATGTGTTAATATGGACAAGTGCTAAATCACGTGTGTGTTTGCGCCATGGCAACTGGAATGGCTACGGGAAAGTCGGGCAGCACGATCGTCTCGCACCACCACAGGTCGGCAGTCGGCCGATGCAATCATGTACTCGCGCATCGGGCAGCAAACGACCGCACGCGAACCGTGCCTGCCACCCTGGCTACCCACCGTCAAGGTGCGAGTGAGCGCACAATTGCCTGCCTAAGACCAACTTTCAAAACTTTCACAGCTTGAATGCTCCACAACCAAGAGGGTGCCAAAACCGACCGCACGTCTCCTAGGATAAACTTGCGCGCTCAAATGCTCGGATAGGTCGGATAGGTAGCGAGATCGCCGTAACACACGTTCTTTCTGTACAGTACGTCTTTATTCCAACTCGCGCGTCGATCGAGAGCACAAACTTATTATCACTTCACAAAACAGGCAAGTTTTGGTTAAGAGCAGTCATACGGGGAAGAAGGCGGGACGCTGAACATGGGAAATTCATTCATCAAGGGAGTTCCCCCTGCGCACCAGTACAGTTACACATGACTTCGCCCCCGCCCCCTGTGCTGGGTGTGGGGGGGGGGGGGGGGCACCTCCCCGTGGGACAGCCACGAAGAAATGCCGACACCTCTACCAGTCTCACGAGCACTCACAGCAACGCCGGGGCCAGCACAAGACGGCAACAGAGTCAATCGAAACCTTTTTGTCGCCATGAAAACGCGCCTTGGCTTCAATAGCGCCTGCTTCGAGCATGGTAGACCAATCCAAATATCTACACGGTGCTGCTCGAACCCGTGGTCATATTCACATGTACGACCATCACCCCCGGAGTAGCATACAACGATCTTTTCGAGGCGCCGAAACATACCTATGCGGGCAGCCTTCGGATCCTCAGTCGCCGCTGCTCCTGCCTGCCCATCTCTCCCCTCCTCCCCATCTCCCATACCCCCCCCGTCCGTCCTACCAATCCCCCCTCCGCCGCCGGCATGGCTCCTGCCGCTACCACCACCGCCGCTGTTCCCCGAGGTAGCAGCAGCTGCTGCAGAAGTGGCGACGCCGCCGTTGGCACTAGCGCTCGCAGAGGTGCTACTTGCGACGACGACCGATCTCGGCCTGGCCTTGCCCTTCCCTTTCCCCCCCCTGCCGGCTGCGCCTACGGCGGTGCTGCCGCCGCCCACGCCCACGCCCACGCCCACGCCCTCGCCCCTCCCGGCAGACGGCCTCCTGGGAGAGTTATCGGTGCTGCTGCTTCCGCCGCCGATCCCGGCCTCCGGGGCCATGCCATGCAACAGCCTGTTGCTTCCTGCTCGGCCTATCGATCCCCCCGCTCGCCGCCTGCTGCTGCTGGCGCCGCCGCTGAGGCGGCTAGGGATAGGGGCAGCCCCCGTTGTCGTCGTTGCCGTGGCCTTTCCCCTCGTTAACGGCGAACCTGCTGCAGCAGCAGCAGAGGGCTCCGCCAACAGGTCCGCCCTTGGCATGCGGGCGGGAGGGAGTCCCCCAACAACCAAGCCCTCGCCGACCCTTTCTTCCTCCGCAGCCGCTGGGAGCTCGCAGCTATCCGGCACCGCCACCTGCTGCTGCTGCTGCTGCTGTTGTTCCGGGCTGGGCGAGGACACGCGCTTGCGCTTGGCAGGAAGCTGTGAAGGCGGCGAGGAGTAGGAGTCGTCAAGACCCGGAGCAGCAGCAGTGCCGTCGGCCGAGGAGGAGGAGGAGTGCCTTCTTCTTCCTGCCCCGCCGCCGCCGCCGGAACCGGAGCGCGGATCTCGGTGCGAACTCGTGGTAGGAGATTTTGGCCCGCCGCCCCAAAGGACGACGTGGAAGGCAGACGCGCCCCCCGCCGCCGCACGCGGTGCGCGAGGTTTCGAGAGGGACGGCAACGCACAGCAGTAGCAGTGGAGGTGGTGGTGGTGGTGGAAGGAAATATGCTGCTGCTGCTGCTGCTGCTGGCAGCGGCAGCGGCAGAAGAGAGAGGGGAGGAGAGGAGGAGGTTGGTGCGGCGGTTTGAAACGTAGTCGTGTCGCGTTGGGTTCGTTGTTGTTGTTGTTGTTGTTGTTGGCGATTCCCTGCTGTGCGTTCGACTGCGAAGACAGGCCAAAGACGAACCATGCAGCCAGTGACTCACCACGGGAAGGTGTGCGATGCTTTCCCACCTTGCTCTTCCGCTGCTGAGTTGCTGAGTTGCGTTGCACAACAACGGACTTGGTAGGGCAAGATGGGGGCACGATAGACAGGATTCCACATGATCCAGGTACCCGGGAAAATGCCACCGCCAGTATGGCGCGGAGCTCCTCCCAGCCGCACCTACCAGCTACGAGTTTGACTGCTACAGGCTGCAGGGCACAGCAGGCATCGCAGCAATCGCAGAGCACAGGGCACAGAGGTGCATTCTGCCAGCATGGCGAGACTGCCCATTGAAAAGGTCGATTGCCTCGTGGTCGGCGCTGGCGTGGTTGGCTTGGCAGTCGCACGGGCTCTAGCGCTGAGAGGGAGAGAGGTGAGCTGAGATTTGAAATTCAAATCCCCATGTTGCTGGCACAACACACGGCGGCGGTCGCTGCAACATCACCGCAGGGTCGGTGTGCATGATGTATATTACACGAGTCTACGTTAGCAACTGTAGTTTCATTTCACTGTTGCATACCATGTTGTGAGAGCATGCACCTGACGCGAGTTCTTCTCTTCACTTGTCTCTCTCTCTCTGTTCCTTTCTCTCCCTCTCCCCCTCTCTCTGGTCAAACATCGATCCCACAATCACTTGAAACCAGAAACAAGCAGCTGACTTTTGACTTGAACGGAGGATAGACTCTCTACTGCTGTATACATTTGAGACTCCTGCTGTAGACTTCATGCCACATTTTTTCACACGCTCGGTACCAGTAGATACTACATACCATCTTGCTGATGGACAACATGAAACCCGTCTACCAGGCACAACTGTAGTCTACAGCAGTAAGGCTGCCACGCGTTTGCTCTCTACAGCAGTACGGCAACAAAAACATGTTTGTTTTGACACCTCTGTTTTGACACCTCTTTACCTCTAATCAATGGAAGAAGCGTCAGCAGCTCAGCCCCGGTTTTCTGGTACACACTGCTTTTCATCGCATTGCGTGACTACATCGTGGAATTGTCATCAGGCCGTGCCTACCATGTACACGCTTTCAGCTAGACGATTTAGAGCCAGACTTTATGCAAACGCGGCGGTTTGACTGGGAGCACATCGATGTCTCTCCGCCCACGCTTTACGTACGCAAATAATAATTTTTACCACCCTCACCTCGCCGGTTTATTTTCAGTTCGTGTTTGTGTTTGTGTGTGTACAGATACCCGTAGCGCCGCACTGAAGAACCTCATTTTTTTTTTTTTCATATGGCACAACGATTCCATCTCTATCCATATGCATAGAAAAGAGTTTTGGCCGGGTCTGGGGTTCTCGGTTCCTCTTATGGGCGACAAATGGCCGCCACAGACTAGAAGTAAGCAGGTTTTAGTGTAGGACTATAGAAGTGGGTAGATTTTAGTGTAGGGGTTCTGAAATCGGGCTCACCGATGGTTCTCAAGGTTCTTGTGTTCGACAGAACGTTGAGAATACACTTCTTTGGCTTCTGTAACTGCCAAGTTCCGAAGTGCGGGCTCCGTCTGTAATACGGGGCGCTCTGGCGTTGTTCTGTTCTCGTTCGGGTACGTTAGGTGCTGGTCTGCGAGCGAGAGAGCGCCGTCGGGCAAGGCACGACATCGAGGAACTCCGAGGTGATTCACGCCGGGTTGTACTACGACCCAGGCTCGCTCAAGGCTCGGCTGTGCGTGCAGGGGAGGCGAGAAGAGTGTGCGGGAGTGTCATACTAACCATGTTCCTGTTTGTGTTGTTGCTGCTGCTGCTGCTGCTGCTGCTGCTGCTGCTGTTGTTGTTGTTGTTGTTGTTGTTTGTTGTTGACCATTTGGGCAACACATCGCTTCTCTTTCTATTGTATGCTGATTTGCTCAGAAGATTGCGTCGCAGTAGAAGTGGAGGGCAGGGCGTGTTTAACTGTGTTTTTTCACACAGGATGTACTGCACAGAAACTGCTGCAAGGTTGTAGCGGCTTCACTTGTGGTACACAACGCATCCGCCTCGTCGCATGCACTACTGTACTGTTCTTGCAGCCGCCCTGGTGTTTCAATTGGCTTAACTACCCTCGCAACCTTGTATTGTGACTCACATTGGCACGCGAGTTCGAATCCTCACCGTAGTCACACCATCTTGATTTTCATGGGGAATCGTGTTCTCGCACGTGCTACATGTGGGCCCGCTGACGACTACAGTACTCCAAAAACGTGACTTGCACGGACAGTCGACCGGGCACAAGCGGGCGGCTGAATCCGTCTCGCGACAAAAAATTACGGCATGGAACACACGACGAAGTCGGAGAAAGAAGGAGACAAACGAGTTCCCTGTGCGCGGTTCGTCCCCGGTGTTGTAGGACTGCAAGGCGCTACGAGCTAGAGGCCACCGCCACCAGTGACCCCCCCCCCCTCCCCCTTGTGGTTTGCCACAGCAAACGCTAGGAATATGACCAGCTTCTGGTTCATCCTTGTTAGAGATAGATAGCCTGGGCCACCGAAAACCAGGCATATATCGCCGCTCCGTCCGGCGTTGTAGGGGTGAGAGGTTAATGGCCCAACAACTAAGGCATGAAAAACGCGAGTACGCCCCCCCCCCCCCCCCC